TTCCGGATTATAATGAGGATGGGATGGTTAAAGTTCGATATTTTGTCTTTGGAAATGGTGCCACGGGGGATCCAGCGATAGATATTTTCAAGTCTTGTGGCTGCCATTATCTTCTGATTACTTGTCGGCAATACTTGTAAGCAGAGGCGGAATCAAGGGGTGGCAACCAGGGGCCCGGGTCCTGCAAAACACCCCTAGAAAATATTTTATATTTTTTTTATTTAATATTTAAATATTATTTTATTAATTATTTTTTAGTCCAAGTTATTAAAAAAAAACCTTTTCAATTTAATTATTTTTTTTACTATTTTTCTATCTTTTTTCTCTAGAATCCTAGTAAAAAAAAAATACTAATGTAAAAATGTTTAAATAAAGCTTAGAATTAATTCAATGCTCAACAAAATAAGGTAATTAGTGATGAGGTTAAGAATTTGATAAGATATATATATGCTATTTTTTTTCTAGATCTACTAGTTTTATTTTTTTTTTATTTCTTGTTACAGTGAATTTAGTTTTTTTTAATAAATTGGATATACTTTATGGATTTGTTTTTTTATACTTGAATTTTTTTATATTTTATTTTTAGTATAATTTTCAAAATTATTAAATTTTTTCTCACATGTACCTTACTATCATTAGGTCTAATGTATAATTTGACATTATTTTTCTAGCTAAATTAAGTTCTTTAAAAAATACATATCTAGTTTTAATTCAAGTTTTTTTCTTTAGAAACCAATAATCTTATTTTTTATATTTAATTTACTTTTATATATCAATTTTTTTAATATGTTAATTTTATTTTTATATATTAATATAGTTTACATATAAAAAATTATATCTTATTATATTAGTTTCGGTCCTCTTCATTCAATTATCCCAGCTCCGCCCTGCTTGTCAAACTGGTGTGTGTGTGTGTGTGTGTGTGTGTGTATATATATATATATATAGAGAGAGAGAGAGAGAGAGCGGGATAAAGTGAAAGAAAGGCAGCTTGCGCTATACTACGAGATTATTTTTTATTTTCATCTTGATACCAGTAATATCCAAGATTTAAGTTTATTTTGGATCATGTACCGTTCATGACATAAGGCTATCTTAAGTCTTGCATACGACAGGATCCAAGACAATTTGGATCCTGCACCAGATTTTTGTACACTGAATGATGAAAGGCTATTTGGATCCTCTATCTTGGGTCATGCACCAAGTAGAAAACCAAGACTATTTTAAGTCATGTAACTTGTAGGATCAAAGTCTATTTAGATCTTGCCTAATTAAGATCCAAAACTATTTTGAATCCTGCAGTCTGGCTTATTTCAATGTCCTGGTTTAATAGTCTTGATACTAACAACCTGAACTAATTAATTATAATTAATTAATGTTTTTAATTATATTAAAGATTATAATTTTTAGAATACAAATAATAATATTTTATTATATTAGTAATAATATTAAACTTTTCTGATCAAAGTTTATACCGTAATATTTTTTCAATTTTTTTAACAATAATAATAATGATAATTGTTATTATATTTTTTTAAATTTTATTATATTCTTAATATTAATACTTTTAATTACAATAAAGATAATAATATTTAGATTACAAATAATAATATTTATCGTATTAATAATAATAATATTAAATTTGCCTAGTCAAATTTTCTACAATAATTTTTTTTGAAAAAATTATTAACAATAACAATAACAATAATTGTTATTATATTTTTGTTCATTTTTCTTTTCTATAAGGTCTGCCGATTCAACTGTGCAATTCTCTAAACCCAGGGGTTATGAGAACAAGCCTCGGCAACTAGGTCTACTCCCAATGCGCGTGTCTGTTGGGCTAACGCTTAGAGCTGCAAACCCTACCACATGGGTTTGTAGACCCCAAGCTCGCAAACCTACTAACCCACTTGCCTTGGGGTTAAAGCCAGGCAAGTGGGTTTGCTCCTAACACCTAGGGTTGGACAGACCTTGCGCATGGTGTATGCATGTTAGGGTCTCAGCCAAACCTAGCGTCAGGTGGTTGTAACCCAAGGCGTCGCTAGGTGTGCGTGACCTACCCACCACTCAGGCTTGGCAGCCCAAACACCAAGTATCTGCAACGCTAGAGGGTGTGCTTCTAACTAAGTGTTTGGAGCCTGCAGCCTCAACATGCTCCAACCAAATAATACAATCTATAATGAAAGTACTTACAATCTATATTACCCACACTACAGTGTAAAACAATGTAATTCATAATAAAAACATTAACAGTATACAATAACTCGTGCTATAATAAAACACTGATTTCTTCTAGTTATAGTTAATATACACACACATCGTCTCATATTTATTGGCCTTTTTCAATTTTGAAAAGTCAATAAAAAATAATTGTGGTCAATCTTTTTTTATTATTTCTACGAGTTTAAAATTAAAAAAAAATTAAAAAAATTAAAGTTTATACTTTTTTAACTAAAAAAAACTAACGAACATTTTATTGCATGTACCTTTAAAAAGTCAAAAGGGCCATTTATTGGAATAGAAGAATCACTCGATGCATGAAAACAAATATTAATTGATTTGTATTTATTATAATATATTTTGAAACATGTGGGATTTTTATTGTATATTTGTCATTGTATGAATTTTTTTTTTAGTTTAGTTTCTAAACTTTGTTTTTGGATGATCAAGTCTTATTCAAGGAGCAATTGATTTCAAACTCTTATGAAATGGTGGGATTGAAAGAGAGGGAATGAAAATGAAAAACAAGACAAATATGGGTGACATGTCATAAATTTTGAAAATATTTATTTTGGTCCTCTAACTTAAACAATCATGTAAATTATATAATTTTGGTTCCTCAAAATTATTCTAGGTCTATTTTGGTATAAAAGTTAGTTCTTGTTATTTTTTGGTTCCTAGTTGAGAAAGGAGAGAGCGGGGATTGTCAAATTCCAGCAATAGATAAAGAAACTTATTGATGACATCGATTTAAACCATAAAAAATGAGGGACTTTTGTGTCAAATTATTTCAATCAATGAAAAGAGTTCATATTAGATATTTTTATACCTTAAAGTTGGTAATAAAACAAATATGAGCTCGAGTTGATTTTTGGTTATGGGTTGAGTTAATTTTTTAGGGCCATGAGTGAGTTTGTCATGATTTCTAAGATGTTTTATAGATGCTTTAGATCAAAAATAGATTGCAAAACTGGTTTTTAGGTTAAAAGAGTATAGACCTTAATTTTTTTATTGCAATAGTGGTTGAAATCTAGACAAAACAGACAACACATCGTCTATTGCTGACATGATGGCCAGATCTAAGGCGCTTGGGTCTGACATGATTACCATTAAAAATATAACTTTAGAGAATGCAATTAAAAAGAAATAAAATGACGTGAACGATTAAAAAACTAAAAAAATAGACAAAACCTCATCTTTTTATTTTGTTTGGAGGCCCTTTTTTAAATAATATTGATTTTTTATATATTTAATTTTTAAAGAAGTTTTTTTGGTTCATCTATGATTTTTTTTTTATCTTTTATACATATAAACTATATTTTTAAAATAAAAAATATTTATTTTCAGATGATATTTTTAATATGTATAGCCTTACATGTTATTTTTTTTAATCCACTTAATTTAATGTCTTATTTTTCAAAATTAAATATCTTAATTTATATTTATTCCTTAATTTTTTAAGTTTTGTTTTTAAATATTATTAATAATTATTTATTTATTTAGCACTACATGTAATTCTTGGTTTGTTTAATTACACGTGTGCAAAATTTAAAATCCTATATACATATATAACCTCGGCAGAGCATAAACAACCACTCTAGTTATTATTATCACTATTTTAAGAAGTTGGTGGTTTGCTTTTACTCGTGTAGCAAATTGCAAAGATATTTATGTATAAAGTAGCTTTGGAGATATCTTTAACCAAACTCAAAACTTCTTCTTTTTTTTCTTTTTTTTAAAGTATTAATACCAATCTGAGCTTCAACTCATTAAGCAAGATCTATTCTTTAACAAGCATATAATGCAAGAAAGTTTTAAAAGGAAAACGACAATAATTTGCTGGGTTAATTATATTGAGTTTCTTATAGTTTAACTTCTGTTTTTTTTTTTTGCTCTATCTTTGTTTATTTGTAGATTACACTTATGTCCTGAAATTTATATATTCATAACACTTTATATATTTATTTTAACATGTAAAAAAAATCAATTTATTTATAAAATTATCATTATAATTTATCTAATAACTAAAAAATCCTTGTAGTATTAAAATGATAAAATTACCGTAATTATTAGGTTGCCATTTTTAAATTCTAACCACCTAGAATTTAAAAGAGTTTTTAATTGAAAAAACGCCAATATCATTAGAAAATGAATGGCATGGCTCGTGGCGGTTATAAAGGCATGGAATCTTGTTGATCCCATTTCCATGCAAAAATATAAAGCCCACATGATAGAAAACTAAAATCATGTTTAATTCTCGGACCAAAGCTAAAGGGTGGCCTGGTCCCTCCAGACCCTCTCCATTAACACAATAAACTCTCTGTTTAGTCAGTTTAGATTGGCTGGGGAAAATAATGGAGACTCTCGTGGACCCACTTGGCTCTCAGAATTGACGGCTATGATTTATTCACCCTTCCTTTGACTTTTCTACTAGCTTTCTATAGCTAGCCTCTTGCCTCTCTCCGTGCATTGACTCTTCTAACCCAACCCAACGCTCCATCCAATCTTAATTACAGCCATAGCAAGTGGTAAGAAAAAAACGCACAGAAAGCCACAACGCGTTCTCGTGCAGTACACGAACCAATCAAAAGACAGACTCACTCACAAATGCGGCAAGTTCACGTTGGGAGCGTGAGATGGGAAAAGGAAAAGGTTTGACTTAGGGATTCTAGCTTCGGGGAAAGAATCAGTATCGGTGTTTGGTGTCAAATCCTAAAAGAGGAAATCCCAACATTAACCCTATATACGGTAAAAAGATAAGGCAGCCAATTTTTGACGAAGAACCAGGGACAGAGGGAGAACAGTACAGGAAGTAAAGTAATAAGCAGACAAGTGAGAGAGTGAGGCTTTTGGAATCAAAAGGGGAGAGATTTTCTTTCAAACTCTTCAATTCCCAAAATTCTAAAGATCACGGCGAATATATTGTTGTTGGTGGTATTAATTCTCACCATGTCAAATTTGAACTCTTTTCCGTTTCATTTGTTTGAAGCTTCCTCTTTCCTTTTTTGTTTTTTCTTGACAGCTTCTTTGATTCTCAGTCTTCATGGCGGTTTCTGGAACTCATAGTTACAAGCCTTTGAATTTCATTTTTTCCACAATTTATTATAATTAGTTTTTTTTTTTTTTTGTCTTCATCAAGTGAGAGGTATTATATACGTTGTTCAATTGGGTATTAGAGAATCGTCACGGCATTCTCTTGCAATTCAAACCATTTTCTTAGAAGATTTTAATTAAGCTTTCATATTTCAGCTTCTTTCTTTTAGCATATATGTCTTTTCTGTGGGGTTCTCGTTGTTTTAATGGTGTTACGGAAGCCATAATTAGGTTCGATTGAGGTTCTTTTGCACACAAGGATTTATCTTTTTGCTCGATCATATTTTCATTTTTGGGTACACGCTGGTCTTTAATTCTTGATAAAGATTTTCCCCTTTTATGTATAACAGGCACGACCAAATTTATATGAACAGACAAACAACACCAGAACCTAGTTGGGAAAGAAAATCGGTTTCATCTCTTCATATTTCAAAGAACCAAGCAAGAATGTTTGGTGATTGCCAAGTTATGTCAAACATGGGAGGGAATGTAGTCTCCTCCGATACCATCTATTCGTTGCCGATCGAAAACCCTAGCTTCAACTTCATGTCAAGCATGCCTTTCCACACTCTCTCCCCCATTATCTCTGTATGTCCAGACTCTTTGATCTCCATATTTCTTTTATTTATTTATTTTCTGTTTTCTCTCTAATTTTTTCAATCAGTGGGAAATTAGTTTCGCACAATGTGGCTTGTTTTGTTTAGAAAGAAGAAAATGGGCTAGTTATGCCAGGCAAGGAGGAAGTGGAAAGTGGGTCTGGCTGTGAACAACTTGAAGAGAAGTCAGGGAATGAGGAAGAGAGCAGCGAGCGACCACCAAAGAAGAAACGTTACCATAGGCACACTGCACGCCAGATCCAAGAACTGGAAGCGTATGTTACTAATTTTTGCGCATCTCTCTCTCTAATTTTTCTCTTTCTTAAATCTATGAAAGAATATATTCCTCTCATAATTTTTCTTTCTCGTGCATCAAAATTGCCATGCAGAAAAAGCTCTTTACCTTGGATTATCTGTTTATAAAATCAATATTTTCCCAAAAAAAACTAAAACCAGCACTCTCCCTTGATTTTCTATCTTGATGCAAAATCTTCTTGTTATTCTGTATGAAACAACCCCGTTATACATAGAAGAATTATTATATAAGCAAAATTGATTACTAACTTTCTCTCTCTAACCATTTCTATTAAATCTTATTCAAAAGTTCACCGTTTTTATCACACGATAAAAATAAAGGAAAGCTTGTTTTGCAGCATGTTTAAGGAATGCCCACACCCAGATGACAAACAAAGAATGAGACTCAGCCATGAACTTGGTCTAAAACCACGTCAAGTCAAGTTTTGGTTCCAAAACCGCCGTACGCAAATGAAGGTAAACATGGTTAATTACCTCTATCTTGGACCTTTCACTTTCTTGGAAACCCTTAAATGTCCCAACTCTTAATGAAGCCGTTGATTTTATTTCAAGAAGGCCCGCCGTCCATTACCAACTTTTTTACCAAGCCATCGTTATGAGCATTGTAGCAAAAGGATCGCATTTATAACCTTGGGCGACTGGCTCATTGCTTACAGTCTCACATGCACTGCCATAACTGGCTAGATATACAGTCTGTCTTCATTAATAACCCTCTGGAACATGTAATGAACCCTTACCTGCACATGTGCTTCCCAAAGAGGGCACAGCATTAATGCTATATGGGAGGCATCTAGTGCTGCAGCGTCAAAGTACGTCCACTAGTTTTCTTCGAGTCTAAGTACTAATGATGTTTGTGTACATTTCTTTTTCCTTCACCGAATTTACTAGGCACAACAAGACCGATCGGATAATAATATACTCAGGGCAGAAAATGAGAGCTTGCAGAATGACAATTACAGGCTACAAGCGGAGTTACGAAATCTTATGTGTCCCGATTGTGGAGGTCAAGCCATGCTTGGAGAAATTCCCTTCGAGGAGCTTCGACTTGAACATGCAAGACTTGTAGAAGAGGTGAAATCTTCAAATGTTGCTCTGAATATAATAATAACATGCCAATGACCCAATATTTAAACTTTCACTTTTAGCTGGCCAATTACTAAATAATCATAATCAAATAAATTGCAAATTCTAAACTGCGGCTGTTGATCAATGAATCTTCAATTACAATGTTGTTCAGTTGGAGCGCGTTTGTTGTTTTGCTTCAAGATATGGCGGCCGGCCAATCCACTCAATGGTACCGGCTCCTGCTTTTGTCCCCCCTTCCTTGGATTTGGATATGAGCATATACTCAAGGCCGTTTCCGGAGTCTTTGGGCACTTGCACTGATATGATGCCTATGCCTATGTTGCCAGAACCATCTTCCTTTCCTGAGGCTGGTATAGTATTAATGGAGGAGGGAGAAGGTGGTCTTGCAATGGGGCTTGCATTGTCGTCCATGGATGAACTTGTGAAGATGTGTCATGCAAATGAGCCTCTTTGGATCACCAACAATAAGAATGGAAAGGAAGTGCTTAATCTAGAAGAGCATGCGAGAATGTTTCCATGGCCTTACAATATCAAACAGAACTCAAATGACATGAGGACTGAAGCTACTCGTGATTGTGCTGTGGTTATAATGAATAGCATTAACTTGGTTGATGCTTTCCTGGATGCTGTAGGTCCCTCTATTTTAGAAGAACTTCTTTAAACTCATTACAAGAGTATCGAATCATTTTTCTTAATTAATTTGCAGCACCTATCGTTAATTATATTCTACAAAAGAGTTTTTTAAATACATTAACCATCTTATCATATATTTTTTAAAAAAAAAATTTTTTGTAAAGTTAATTTAAGCTGATGTTGATTTTGTACAAATTGTTAGAATAAATGGATGGATCTGTTTCCCACCATTGTTGCTAGAGCAAAAACTGTTCGAGGTATAAAAACAGGCGTTTGCGGTGCAAGCGGTTCCCTTCACCTGGTATGCATGGATTTGATGCTACAATTTTTTAATTCCCACATTATCTAGTATTTATTATTGAACACTGCAAGTACCAGAAATTTCTGTGATTTAAGCTTATTTTCTGTTTTCTAGATAGCTTAATTATTTGTTACTTGTTATCTGAGCAGATGTATGCAGAATTGCAAGTTCTTTCCCCATTGGTGCCAACTCGAGAAACATATTTTCTTCGCTTTTGCCAACAAAATGTAGAGGAGGGAACTTGGGCTATTGTCGATTTCCCCCTCGATAGCTTCCACGACAACATCCGACCTTCCTTTCCCCTGTATAGGAGACGTCCGTCCGGCTGTGTAATTCAAGACTTGCCCAATGGGTACTCAAGGGTATGCACTAGCCTAAATTTTATGCTTTTATTGTTTTACTTGTTTCTTGTTGGAGGGCCAGATGACAATCTTTGATAATCAAGCTCGATTCTCCATTAAGTTCATTTTCTTGCAACTTATGCCCTCGAAATTGACCAAAAGTTAATTTTTTACACTTGCACATTTCCATACAGTTGACATGGATAGAACATGCAGAGATAGAGGATAAGCCTGTCCATCAGATATTTAGCCAGTATGTCTATAGTGGGATGGCATTTGGAGCACATCGCTGGTTAACAGTCTTACAGAGACAATGCGAGAGGGTTGCTAGTCTCATGGCTAGAAATATCTCTGACCTAGGAGGTAAGAGGTTACAATTCTATATTTCTTCCACTACTTGAAATTAATTAAGTTCACCAATTGTATATATCAACTCAAGTATTAAGCTGCATTTAACCTTGTATTAATTATTTTAATATTAGTTATATAATTGTTATCGATTGTGGTGTTTGATACCCCATACCAGAAAGAAAACATTATTTCTCCTTTGCTGCTTCCTAAATGCACGCGTTCATGTTATAGCCAAAATTAGTTCCAGTATCTGCTTAACTTCATTAATTCTGAACACTTATATTCCTGGTATATATTCACAGTAATACCCTCTCCTGAAGCACGGAAGAACATGATGAGACTGGCTCAAAGAATGATCAGAACTTTTAGCCTGAATATCAGCACTTCTAGTGGCCAATCATGGACAGCTTTACCCGATTCCCATGATGGCACTGTTAGAATTATCTCAAGGGAAATCACGGAGCCTGGCCAGCCTAATGGGGTCATTCTCTCTGCAGTATCCACGACTTGGTTGCCCTATCATCACTTCCTAGTCTTTGATCTGTTGAGGGATGAACATCGCAGATCTCAGGTTCTAGTGGACGCCATAAAAAATACTCTTATATAGTTGATCTTCTACTCTCTGCACTTAAGATAAATTGTTTGTTTCTAATAATGATTCTTGTCATAATTAATTAATATGTATATTATGCTGTGTAGCTGGAAGTTCTTTCCAATGGGAATGCCTTGCATGAGGTTGCTCACATTGCCAACGGCTCTCATCCAGGAAACTGTATCTCTCTTCTTCGCATCAACGTAAGCCTTTTCTTCCCTGCATTTATAATCAATTTAATAATACATACATCATAATCAATTTCCCTCCTTTTTTGTTAGTTTTTTTATTACCAATAACATAAAAAGTAATAAAACTGCTGAATTAAACCTCTGTACTGAATTATATATATGCAGCAATAACTTTATCTGTATTCCATTAAATAAATTTGTATACTTGCATTTATGTAGGTCGCCAGCAACTCATCACAGCATGTAGATCTCATGCTACAAGAGAGTTGCACTGATCAATCCGGCGGCCTTGTTGTGTTCACCACCGTGGACGTTGAGTCAATTCAGCTCGCAATGAGCGGCGAGGATCCATCCTGCATTCCTCTACTTCCACTAGGTTTTGTCATAGTCCCAGTAGAATCCAGCAGTAGCAATGTCAGTGAAGGCAATTCAGTGCAATCTAATTCTGAGGATGGAAATGGAAATGGACATAACAACTCAGGCTGCCTACTGACTGTGGGTCTCCAAGCCCTTGCAAGCACTATTTCATCTGCAAAGCTCAATATCTCCAGTGTCACTGCGATAAACAACCATTTGTGCAACACAGTGAACCAAATCACTGTTGCTCTTAGCAACACCGCCACCACCACTAGCAGCTGCCTTGATAACGGCAATGCTGTAGGGTCTTGCAATGAGCCTACAGCTGCACCCAAACAAGTTTAGGGTTTTCGCCGTGCAAATTACCTTGATTCTCCCCTCTTCTATCTCTCTCCCAGAGACACTACTTGTGCATTTTGGTGGTTACAACATTGGACATTGGACATTTGACAGAGTGACTGAGGGATCATTTTTCGCTAATCCCTTTCTATTGGGTTTGTAGAGGGGAGATTTCAGGTAATTAGTAGGAAAGTAAAGGCTAGGATTGCAAATAAGTTACCATTACTGTAATGCTAGTAGAAGTAGTGGTAGTTCGGTAAACAAGAGACTGCGAAGCTAATTCGGTCAGTGGGGTAGATTTTCGGTAAATGGGAGATGAGAGGATGGTTGTGCCATAAATGGCAGAGATATTGGGCTGTGTAGAATAGAGGGATGATAGAGGGGAGTCAAGAGCGCACCAAGATGTGACCTTTGCTTCCTGGTAAGGCCTTTCTCAGTGTATTATTGTTATGAAGATGGGGCCTCACCAGTCAGCAAGGGTGGTGGTTCGGGTATTGACTCCCGCTTGCCGGTCTAAATTTTATGCTGTTTCGAATTTAATGCCACTGAATGAATTGTTTTTCTTTACTTTCTTCGTATTTCTCTGTTCTATTTATTAGTTTTAAGAGTGTATTTGATATTGTGGTTGTAATTTTAAAAAAGTTGTTTTATAAAAAGTATTTTTAGTTAAGGTTAATTTGAAAAAATAGGTGTTTTGTTAAAACAGCGATTGAAATTAAAGTTGAAGAAAAAGTAATTTAATGTGTTTGATTAAAAATGTTTTTGAAATTAAAGTTATAAAATAATTTTTAAAAATATATATTAATATTAATAATTTTAAATTTAAATAATATTTTATATAAAATATTTTTTTTATTTTATTAAAATATTTATAATTTAATTATGTATAAAATTTATTCGATAAGAATTACAGTTTTCATAATTTTTTAAGCATGTAATAAAATTAGATAAAATATTATCAGGTATAAAATTGATATCACAGTGCGAGTAAATTTAATTCATTTTATATTAGTATTTTGAGAAAAAAATATTGTTCACATCAAAGTGCAAATAAATTTAATTTATTTTAAATTAGTTTTTTTAAAATATTAATAAAATTAACACTTAAAAAATATTAATAAAATTAATTAAATACTAAAAAAAATATGTTTGAACAATGCAAGTGAATTGGATTGTTCACGTGAACAGTGCAATTCACTCGTGAAATGCAATGAATTGCACTATTCATAGTAATTGCACTGTTTACTGAACAACGCAATTAACGTAAACAGGGAATGAAAAACAATATTTATTTATTTATTATTAACTTCATTTCAACCGTAAAAATTGTGTGGATTTATGCATAATAAATCAATTTTTTTCTTTATCAAATGACTGCAAACTGTGTTTTAATTAAAATGCAGTCGCAGCCGCGTAAACAAATACCATCTAAAACCTGTTGGTTAACCTAAGACTTGTTAACGTGGAGGGGTTGAAACTCAATCGAGTTTATAAAAAATGAAAGTATGTTAATAATAAAGATGATATTTTATTTTTTTATATTAAAATATTTTACTTTTTTAATATTTTAAAAGTTTGTTTGTGTTGAATTTTTTAAGTTGAAGTTTTTTTAGTCTTAAATTATTTAGAAATGTTTTAGATTTAAAATTATATTGAAATGGTTGATAACGTGTTTGTATTGGATAATTTGAAGTTTGTTGTGTGTGTGTGTAAAGTTGGGTAGCAGAAAGATTTAAATCCATGATACCAGAGGCAGCATGGCGAAAATTACAGAAGTTTGGAGCTGCAAAGAAAGATGTAAAATTGCAAGTTATTGTTGTCAACTTTATGCATGTAAAATTGTGATTTGAAGTGAAACTGGTGTTTTTCTATTGGAGTGAAACTGGTGTTTTCTATATACATTGCCTTTTCTCTTTAAAAGGCATCATATATATATTGCCTTTTCTCTTTAAAAGGCATCATAAAGGAAGAAGCTGCTTCCAACACTTTGCCAAAGAGAGTAATAAACCAAGTCCCTACAAAAAAATTTTCCTAACCGCAGAATCTGTAAATGTCGACATCAAGATTATCACTTAAATCTCTCTATCTCTCTCTCTCGATAGTTAGGAATGTCAAGCAATCATGCACTTTGAGAGGAGATTCTCTCTCTCTCTCGATAGTTAGGAATATCCTATTTCAAGCAATCATGCACTTTGAGAGGAGATTTAATTAACTAAAAGTAGTCCCCTTTAAGGAATAATTCATGAGAACTCGATTCCTTCCCGTCAGGTGCAAGAAGAAATACTCCATCATTTCTTAGGCTCCAAATGCATTCAGTGCATCTTAGCTTCACTGCATATGCCCAAAAGACTCCATGCTTTGATTCTCCAAGGTAGACATAACACCATTTTAACGGGAACATTATATCACGGAACTCAAACGACATGTATTCCCCTGGTTTCATTGTATGCAATTTTTTGTCGTGCTCTCCATCACCGCACATATACTGGATCTCATGAGCGGCATCATTGGAAATGGTCACTGTTATTTTTTGAAAAAGTTTATCTACCAACGGTATAGATAGAGAAGATGAAGGTTCAAGGAAGGATGTAAGAAAAATAATGAAAATCGCACATTTTGCAATATTGCATTTGCATGCAGTAGTCATGATATATACTAAACGGCGGTAGAGATTGCAACAACACTACTTTTATGTGTTGCTTGTTGATCAAGGCATGCAATGATAACAATTAGGGATTCCTAGTGTCTTTATATAAGCAAGTCGGTTAAAGAAAACGGATCAAATCTTAAATGCACCAGGTCATCAAATCAACCAAGTCGTTCGTCTGTTTTGCCTAGCTAGAACAAAACGAGTTGTAAACAACTTATTCCAAACTGATCAAAACAGTTTTGTGGCTATATAAAGTCGAAGTTAGTTCAAGAAACAAGGTTTAACGGCAAGTTGCTAGTCATTTGAAGTGTTGTCTTGTTTTTATAGCTGTGCCCAATTCTTCGACAAGCCTCCTTTAACTAATTTTGGAAAATCACAACACATATTTGTAAAACTCCAGAAAACTGCTAGTGTGTTCCACATGATACAGCTTTTACCGGGTCTCCAATTCCCTAAACATCTCTGTGTGCTGTGACGACAGGTTCTTAACCTCAAAAGGGTAGCCTGGCAGTTTAGAAATCCACTCCCTCCTTCCTTCATCATGTTGAATTCAAATCTTAGGACTAATATTTGAGAGAATTTATTTTTTAAAATATACTTAGGTCGATTGGAAAGGTGCCAGAAATACTTGGTCTTGATTGATAGATAAATTAATCAAAAAAATACCGCTAACCTTCAAACCACAGCGCACACAATAAAGAATCGATCACGCATCAAACTTAATTGATCTAGCTATATGTAGGAGGGTTGCGTGTATACTCCGAAAAGATTGGCAAGAACTCTAGTTTTAGTTTTAGAAATGATTAGATATGCTCGAGCTCTGTAATGATAAGGCTAGGTTCCAAGATCTGCCCACCTCCTAACCCACACCCTTTCCACTTCGACGCAAGTTTATATGATTTTATCTGTAAAGGCTAAAATTACGATAAGAAAACCATCAAGGAAAACCCATCACAACAGTCCCGAAGCGAAGGCCCATTTATTGATGGCTAATGAGTCCACTTTCTTATTTTAGCTTCTCAGGGGACAAATGAATCGTCCTATTTTTCATGCCACCAGGGGTGCGTTTAGTATTGCACTTGTAGTTATGATTTAAAAAAATAATTTTATAAAAATAATTTTTTTAATTGGGTTTAGTTTGAAAAAATAAATATTTGGATAAAACTATGATTGAAATTGAGATAGAATAAAAAATAGTTTAATATATTTGGTTAAGAATACTTTTAAAATTGAGGTTATAAAATAATTTTAAAAAATATATATTAATATTGATGATTTTTAATTTAAATATTGTAGATTTAATTATTATTATTACATCATAAAATAAATAATATTTT